CTTTTCAAAGCATCTCATTCCATTTTTTTAAATAAGAATTTATTTATTTAGTTTTTAGGCAATTGGGGTTAAGTGACAGCCAGGGTCACACTAGTAAGTGTCAAGTGTTTGCTCTGATCATTCCTTTTTTTAAAACAATTTAATTCTTAGAATAGTCTTTATTGAAGCTAAATGTCTCCCTGTGACTTCTACCCATTGGTTCTTATTCTGTCACTTGAAGCCACACCAAAGAAGAATTCTTCTTCTATATGAGAATTCTTCAAATGCTTGAAGACTATCATCACACACACACACACACACACACACACACACACACACACACACACATCCCGCACCCCTAGGCCTTTAGTCTTGTTTTCTCCAAACAAAGTAGAATCAGTTTCTTTGGTCACCATATGACATGAATCTATACTTCCATCCCACCTTGCCTGAAATTCTCACCAAGAGTCACTCCACTAATTTAGACATTAACAAGATCATCTCTAGAAGGCCACTATTTGAATGTCCATGAATTACTTAAGAGAAATGTGAGCACTGAGAGAGGTTGAGGAGAGATCTCTGTCGCTTACCTATTCATTAAATTGTACAGATTCATTTATTATATTGTTTAGAGACCCTAGTCCTGAGGGCAAGGAATATGGAGCAAGGAAGTTTCAGTGGCAGAGAAGATGTATAAATAGGTGGTAGAGGACCATGGTATACCATTAGGAGATTACCCTAGATGAGATGTCAGAAAGGGTACACTCTCACCATAAGAGAGGTGAGTCAAAAAATAACAGTCTAATGCAATTGACTAGGCACTGAAGGGTGATACAGCAACCGCAAAGAGAAAGAAATTGTCAGAAACAAACTTTAACTCCTTTACAAGCTCATCTATCGCTGGTATAGATCTTCTATTTTTCATTGCAGAATGTAATGACCACTGAATTGGTTCTCTTCCAAATATTTCACTAAGTGGTGTGACCTTGGGCAAGTGATTTAAATTGTCTAGCTCTCAGTTCCCTTCAGATATATATAAATTGAGAGCATTGAATTAGGCAGTCCTCAAGGTTCTTTTCAGCTTTCAAATTCTATTTCAGTTAGTTAAGAGAATGGTAAACTGACTGAAAGAAAGAAAAAATAACTAGGCATTAGCCATTTCCAGCCATAGAAGACCAACACCTCAGACACTGCAGCCCTGCTATAAAGGAGAATAGGAAACTGACCTATCAAAACAAAATAATGGCTCATTAGCTGTGTGACCCTGAGCAAGTCACTTAACTCCACTACCTAGAAAAATACAAAATAATAATAATAATAATAATAATAATGTCGTTTGTATTCGTTCCCCCCTTCAGACTTGGAAGATGATCTGGCCCTCATCTGCACCAAAGCAGAGAAAGTACATTGGAGTAGGAATCATGAGAACTCAGTTCAAATCACCCTGGCACTAACTAACTAATAGTGTGACCTTGGACAAATCATATCACCTCTCTGGGCCTCAGTTTCCTTGTCCATAAAATGAGTGGTTAGACTAGATAATCTCTAAAGTCTCTTCTGGGTTGTAGGTGGCAGTCTGAGGTATAATTTGGCTGGACCACAGATTGTTTAAAAAGAAGTCATGTATTGGCAAGGTACTTTAAGAAAATTATTCAGTTGTTATCATAACCTCTTTCTTAGTTTCTTGGTAAAGGCCTTATCTGTGCTCAAGAGACTACATAGTTAAAAAAAAAAAAAAGGTCTTTGGCGTCATAAAGGAGCCAGAACATAAAGCATGGAGATGGGAGTGTGGTGTGTGAATCACACCTATTCCTTCCCAGCAAGTTGAAAGCATTCACTCCTTCCTTAAATTGCCTGGATCTCTCCTTTACCCTCATCACATAATTCTTTATACTTATTTTTGTATATGTCACTTCCCTCTCTAAAGAATATATAGTTCCCTGAGTATATGGACTAGTTCAATTTTTTTCTTTTGTTTACAACCCTTACACAATATCTTTAACATAATAGGTATTTAGTAACTACTTGTTAATTGATTGATTAAAGCTAGCTAATACATGTTCTAAACATTTGTTTATGGATTTTGACTGTAATGTGCAGTGTGTGAATTCAGCTTAATGCATATTTGTTAAGTGCTTGCTATATCAGATACTGGGCTAGGTGCTAGAGATACAAAAAGAGATTTCTGTTACTCATTCATTTCAGTCCCACTCTTTGGGACCCCATTTTGGGGTTTCCTGGGCAAACAAAAAGAAATACATGAGGATTGTTTGAGTTATTACCATATCAGGGAATTATTCTTTGACTGTTATATGCCCAGGAACAATAATACTAATTAGCCAAGTGAGTGGCTGCCTGGGGGGCTCCAGAAATAACATCCTGCTCCCCAGCATCCCTACTTGAACTGCCACACAGCTCAAAGTGCCAGGCAAGGAAGACATTCACTCCTTTGGATTATGGGATCTTGTTACCAGATGACACTTATTGAAATGAAAACATTACCCAAGCATTCCTTATAAAAATGTAACACATCCATCCCCACTACCCAGGTCTTCCTGTTAGGCCTTTATTGGTGATTAAGTCTTTAAGTATATGGATATTCTTGCTTTCCATTGTGATATAGTTCATTGAGATTCGATTCCCAAGGTGGGAGGGTCAAGCAAAAAGGGAAGAGGAAGAACAGATAGAGAGATCTAGAAGCTGCCTGCAAAAGAGAGAAATGGGAAGATCTCAAATACAGACCCCCCCTACATCATAAATTTGCTTCTGGCCTGTCCTGTGGCTGCCTAATATTGAGGCAGTGAACATGATTCTCCAATCTCTTTTGTATTTACCTGTTTTTCTTGCTTATTGCATTCTAGTCATAGTTCTTGCACTAGTCTTTATTTCATGTATGCTTTGTAAACACTTATTCATGTTGCATATTTTGTATATACTATGACCTACTAATTTATCTAACTGTTATCTCACTAACTAGCAGACAAATCACTTTCCCTCTCTGAGCCTCAATTTTCCCATCTGTAAAAGAGCAAGGTTAGATTAAATTATCTCTAAGGTTCCTACTGGCTTTAATGTTCTGTTATTCTAAGTTGTCCTTTTCTACATCCTCCCTATTGAGTTTCTTTTGATTTCTATCTTTACTAACTTCTCAAGATTAATCCTACGCTCAATTCTAAACTAGCATTGGGTTGTTGTTATCCCAATTCAATTCAAACAAACATGGCTTACATGTCTACCCTCCCCTAAAGTACTGCTGTTTGTGTTTGGGGTACAGGGTGGTTCTGTCTGGAAAGAATTTGATCACTCAAGCCTTCAATTGAGGAAGTTAAGTGGCCAGAGAGCCACAGTGAAAGGGAAGTTAAAAGGATTGTTGACTGGGATAGGCTGGGTGCTTAGGTGAACTCCAGAGATCTGGACTCAGGGGCTTTGGGGTCTGTGTCCCAAAGACATGGTCTTTTCCTTTTTGGGGACCAGATCCCATCCACATCACTGCCATCTCATGATAGAACGGATGTAACCTTGGCTTCTTGAAGGCTATACAGTAGACTTCTAGCTCTGGGAGGTCCTACCAAATTGAAGAAGGCTTCAAGTATGAGCCTGGTGATGGATCATACATCCATTCTTCAAGTACCAATCTAGCTAAAGTCAGAAAGATTCAGCATCATGTTAGTCATGAGATAATAAATTTTCAGCCAAAGCAACTCTCAAAGACCATCTACTAATTTGTAGAAGGGATGTGATCTCATAAGATTATAGGATTATAGACCTAGAACTTAAAGGGACCTCAAAAGCCATCTAGTCCAAATTCTTCATTTTACAAATGAGGAAACTGAGGCCCAGAAAGGTTAAGGGACATTTCTAAGGTTTAGTTCAGTAAAGAAAATATCCATACCAACAAATTCACAAATTCATGAAGACATGAAATATGTACAAAGCAAAGTAATCCACTAGGCATATGAAGGAAAAATAACACAGTTTTTATCCTCAAGGAACTTAAAGTCTATTGAGGATCATATGATATAAATAAGTAAGTATAACACAAAGTAGGATACAATGGGGGCAAAAGGAGTAATCCAGACAAAGTATTCTAGGAATATTGGAGGAGGGAGAAATTACTTTCAGCTGAGAGGGCAGGGGGTAAAAGGAGAAGGGAGAAGGAGAGCAAGAGGGAGGGCAAGGGAAGAGACCATATCAGAGAAAGTCCCAGAAGGTAGAAGAAATGGTGCCTGAAAGTAAACCTTGAAGAAAGGGAAGGATTCTAAGAGGTAGAGATGAATGTATTCCAGGCATGAGGAACACCCTGCATAAGTGTACAAGGGCAAGAGACAGCACGTTGATTTGGGGGAATAGCTAATAGCTCAGCTTGGTTGGAACAGGGGAGTTGAATGAAATAAGACCAGAAGAGGACACCTACATGGAGCAGTGGATAGAGCACCAGCCCTGAATTCAGGAGGACTCTGAGTTCAAATTTGGCCTCAGACCAAATACTTGACACTTACTAGCTGTGTGACCCTGGGCAAGTCACTTAACCCTAATTGCTTTAAAAAAAAAACAGACTAGAAATATAAGAGCCAGATTATGGAGGGACTTAAATGCCCTGCTAAATAAAATGTTTTGTTGTATCTACTTAGCAATAGGGAGATTTTTGAATGAAGAAATGACACAATCAAACCTGTGCCTTAAGAAGATTATTTTATCAGCACTGCAAAGGATGAATTGAAGGAAGGGAGATAAGAAGTAGGACTTGGGGGCAGGGAGATGCAGATGAAATGTAAAGCTCTTTCTGTTCCTTCCCTCAAAGGGCTTACAATCTAATGAGCAGGGGGGGGGGAAACCAATACATTTGAAATAAAGCAACAATACAAAACAGTATCAATTCATCAATCAATCAACAAGCATTTACCGAGTACCTGCTTATGTGCTAAGCATATAGTTAGTATATGATCAATTGACCAAATCAATAATACAGACAATAAGTGATAGCGTGTTCTTAACTCTGACAGATTGGCCCAAAAAACAGAATGGAAGAGGCCATCCTGCCCAACCAGACTTCAGTGACTCATTTCCAGTTGCGAGGTCTATCCACCAGCTTGAAGGTGCAGATAGCTGTATTTGCAATGTTTCTCATTTTCTATATCCTGACCTTGATGGGTAACATCCTCATTGTTATCACTATCATCTATGATCGTCGACTCCACACCCCCATGTATTTCTTCCTTAGCAACTTGTCCTTCATTGATGTCTGCCACTCTACTGTCACAGTCCCCAAGATGCTAGTGGACACCTGGTCTGAGGAGAAGCTCATCTCCTTTGATGCTTGTGTGGTTCAGATGTTCTTTTTGCACCTCTTTGCCTGCACAGAGATCTTTCTCCTCACGGTCATGGCCTACGATCGCTATGTAGCCATCTGCAACCCACTGCACTACATGACAGTGATGAACTGGAAGGTGTGTGTGCTGCTGGCTGCAGCTCTCTGGACTGGAGGGACCATCCACTCAGTGGCTTTGACCTCTCTCACCATCAAGCTTCCCTACTGTGGTCCTGATGAGATTGACAACTTCTTTTGTGACGTACCCCAGGTGGTCAAACTGGCCTGTATGGATACCCGAATCATTGAGATCCTCATTGTCTCTAATAGCGGGCTGATCTCCGTGGTCTGTTTCATAGTACTGGTGGTCTCCTATGCTGTCATCCTGGTGTCTCTGAGGAAGCGGATTTCAGCAGGCAGGCGCAAGGCCCTGTCAACCTGTGCAGCCCACCTCACAGTGGTCACACTTTTCTTGGGACATTGCATCTTCATCTACTCCCGCCCTTCTACCAGCCTTCCCGGGGACAAAGTGGTATCTGTGTTTTTCACAGCTGTCACCCCCCTTCTAAATCCTATCATCTACACTCTGAGGAACGAGGACATGAAAAATGCCTTGAATAAGCTAATAGGGAGGAAGGAAGGGAAAGAAGAAAAGTGAAAATTATTCTCAATTATGCTGTTTGCTTTTCAACCAATTATTCAACATTTACTGCACAGTTATTATGTGTTAGTCACTGAGGGGGATAAAAAGAAGAATGAGATGCATTCTCTGCCTTCAAATAACTGATACTGATGCAAAACAAAAATTGTTAGGACAGAATAGGTGCTTAGGAAAAGTACATGGTAATCTGAGACTTTGGAGGCAAAAGAATTCACTTTCTGTTTGGGGAATCAGGGAAGGCAGATTGAAATAATGGGCAGTATTTCAGGAGGCAGTAATAGGGCTGGAATAATTGTATGAGCAAAGGCCTGGAGGCAGGAAAGGGGTGGGCAGTGTGGTAAAGGAGGAAAATTATGGTAATGATATTAATTAGAAAGTTATTGAAATAGCCAAAGCAGGAAGTAATAAGAATCTGAACTACTGTTTTAACTATTAGAATGGAAAGGAGAGGTTAGAAGCAGAACATACTGTAAGAGTAGAATCATTGGTGCCTCATGCCTGGGAGAATGATGGGCCAGAGTAGAATCATTCAAGTGCTCTTCATTTGAACAAAAGGAGCAGAGAAAAACTACTCATAGTTTGGGCCAACTCATACTTGCCAACCACAGTGACAGAGGCTCTCACTCTAAGACACTCTAAGAGAAATAGAAGCGTTTAATGGAAAGAACAACGCAATGGGGATCTGAAGACCTAAAATCACATTCCAAGGCCATCTCCCAAATTGTGTAAGCTTAGGAAGCAGCTTAATTTCTCATGGCCTTGAATGCTTCATCTGTAAAACAGGAAGAATAATAAATGTTATTCTTTCTACAAATCAAAGCTGTGATATATAAGAAGAGAATGACATAGTAAATGAGACATAGTAAATACACAAAAAGCATTGTATAAGTAACTATTTCTTTGGCCTTGGAGTTGGGAAGACCTAGGTTCAAGTCCTGCCTCAGATACGTACTGACTGTGGGATCCTAGGCAAGGTGCTAAGAGTAAATTTCACAGCAGGTTGTGCTTTGCATTCATAGAAGGAGTTTTATTCATCAGAAGTTCCCTATACCAATGAAATTATAGATCCAGTCCCAAAAAGCAGTTAATTCCATGATCTTATGGATAGTAAAGATCTCCCTTAATTTTTTCTTCTTTTATTCTTCCTTCCATGTTGAAAGATATCTACTTAATAGAAACAATATGATTCTTTAATCTGTCACATGTCTCAAATAATTAGTCTCATGTTGAATTTGCCTGAGAATATGTGTTGGTAATTGAATTCGGGTAACTAGACAATGCAGTAGACAGAGTGCCAGGCCTGGAGTCAAAAAGATCTCAGTTCAATTCCAACCTCAGATACTTACTAGATGTGTGACCCTAGGTAAGTCACTTACCCTCTGTTCACCTCAGTTTCCTCATCCATAAAATGGGGATAATAATAGCACCTAACTCTCAGGGTTGTTGTGAGGATCAAGTAAGATAATACTTATAAGGCACTTAGCTCAGTGCCTGGCACATAGTAAGCGCTTTATAAATGCTAGTTACTATTATTATTATTAATAAGAACTATGCCAAAGGTACCCAACACTTCCCACTTGGACCAAAGATTCTCTGATAATCATAATGACATTTAATAAACAAAACTCAGTCTAAGTCTTGTGATCACTCTGTATTTCAAGGAGTATCAGTCAGTCAACTAGCATTTATTAAGTACCTACTACTGGGGATACAGACCAAAGCAAGAGTCAGTGCTTGCCATCAAGGAGCTTATAGTTTATTGAGGAAGACAAGATTTCTTTTCATATGCAGATAGTTCCCCTTTACATAAGTTCACATTAGATAAATTTGACTTTATATAAAGAATTCTGGAAAAAATTTGCAAAAGATCATCAATTGTAACTTTACTGTACAGTACTGTACTCTGAATGTCCCCTCCTGCCCCTCTGCTTGGTGCTCCACAGTCTCTCACACCCTATACCCCCCCCCAAAAAAATAGAAAAAGCTAAAAAAAAAGCCTCTAAGTGAAAGCAGAACAGAGACCACTACTGCTGGTGTGTTGAGCCCCCACTTTGTCTTCCCTCCATCTGCCCTAGGGTTTATATGTCTGTCCTTAGCTCCTTCTATTGCCAGTCCTCTTCTGCCTGAGTCCACGCTTGGACCCTCGTGTGTCTTCCCCTTAATGCGCCCACCTTCACCTACTTCCCTAGAGTGTTCTTCCTTCCGCTCTGGATGGGACCCACAAGCCTGGTCCTGGCCCCTTGTGTTCCTCCTCCTGCTTTCACTTCTCTGTCCCCAGCCCTCACCATCTCCTTGAATCATGTACCGGCCCCTCCCTACACAGGAGACCCCCTTCCTGTCTCCCTCCCTTCATTCCCCAAGTCCTCGGACAAATTCACTTTACATAAAAATCACTTCAAGGAGAGGTCTGCAATGTAATCCTTTTGTGTAAAATGAGAACTGTCCGTATAGCAAAACCTCTCATTCAAAAGAATTGGGAAGACCAGGTTGAATTAGTGAAAAGCCTAAATTGTAGAATGCTTAGCCAAAATAACATAGATAAGGCACTGGATTTGTAGTCTTAAGATTTGGATTCAAATCTTACCTCCAAAAGCTACTATACGACCTCTGAAACATCACCATTCTCTCTTCCCTCATTTGTAAAATAGCAAAATAAAACATGTCTTGCCTATTTCACAGGATTTGTTTGAAGATCACGTCAAATAATTGCTGTGAAATTGCTTTGTACTATACAGGTGTTCTAAAAGCTTTGGTGCTTTTTTTATTTTTTTCCTTTTTGGCGAGACAATCGGGGTCAAGTGACTTGTACAGAGTCACACAGTTAGTAAGTGTTATGTGTCTGAGGCCAGATTTGAACTCACGTCCTCCTGACTCCAGGGCCAGTGCTCTGCCCCCTAGCTGCCTCCTTAAATGGCTTTAAACTATATGAGTGTTAATAGCTTAAAACTACATTAAGACTTTTGGACACTTTGCACATCAATCAATTATGCCTTCATTTATGTCTTTGGTAATGTTAAACAGCTCTAATCTAAGGATAGATAGCTGATGAACTTTCTTCGTATCAATCCTATGGAGCAGTGAATCAATTTTATCTCCATTTTACTGATAAGAAAACTGAGAGATATTAAGTGACTTCTCTAGGTTCATCAGTCTAGTAATAAAAAAGATATTCTAACTCAGATCTGAATCCAAATCCAGTAGTCTTTCCATGATAGCATACTGTCATTTAGAAAGGGTATGCATTTGAACATTTCCATAGAGGAAAAACTTAAATCAGTTTAACCCTAATAAAATGAGTAGGGCCTTGCCCATGAGGCAGACAAATGGCATCTGAAAGGAATGACTTCAGAAGTTGGTGGGAGGGCCCCAAATGGCACTACCTAGAATTGGAAGAGGGACAAGAACTCTGTTAGATATAGCTATCGAGAGGAAGTAGAGTCAGTTCTGGAGGCAGCAAGAGGGCTAGCCAGCAAGTGGAATCAGGGCCAGATTGGACATGAATGGGAGGGCAGTTAGCTGACTTAGGCAAGTTGTGCCAGTTTCCATGGCTAGATTAGAAATATTTTAAGTTTAGATTTCCATGCTTGTCAATTCTGCACAATATGTTTATTTTGTTTTGCCTTCTTTGCCCTTAAATATAAGTTAAGTATTACTAAAGACCCTTTTGAACACATTCTCAGTCTTGGGTGACTAAGGAGGAGTGGGGGAAGGGGGAGTCTCACTACTCTTAGAATAGGAGAATGTGGAAGAATTGGTAAATGAGCAGTTTGTGCAGAGAATAAGTATAACGAAGAGATATAGCTAGGTAGCATAGTGGATAGAGTGCTAGACCTAGAGTCAGGAAGGCCTGAATTCAAATCTACCATCTGACCCTTACTACCTATGGTACCCTGGGCAAGTAATTTAACCTCTGTGCCTCAGTTTTCTCAACTATAAAATGGAGATGATAATAATAGCACTTAGCTCCCCAAATCATTGTGAGGATCAAATTGTTTAATTAACACTTGTTTTCTTCCTTCTTAACTTGGTGGAAACAAAAGATTCTATTTAGCAAAAAGAGGAAAGGAAAGGGAGTGAATTATATTTTTAAAGTTAATCAGCCAATAAACATTTATTAAGCACCTACTATGTGTCAGGCACTAGGCTAAGCACTGGGGATACAAAGAAAGACAAAAGTCAGTCCACATAAAAATGTGTCCAAGAGGAATTCACAATCTAATGGGGAAAGACAATACACAAAAAGAAATTGAAAAGGTGGTGGAGGGGAGGGAACAGATGATACCTAGGGAAGGGGACATGATAAAGACCTGCAGCCAAGTGGGAAATGATGAAGTGTCTTCCCTGAGCACCCTCCTTAAATAAAAGATCTGTGAGGAGCTCTCCAATGTCCACCATCTCCCCTCTCCAACCAGGGGGAGGGAGGACTGCAAAAGGAAGGGGCTCTGAGAAGACAGGAGTTTCAGAGTTGATTTGATATTGAAGCATGAGAAAAGCTAAAAGAAATATTAATTCTATAAAAGAAATACAATTTTTTCTTGAAATGTGTGTGAGAAAACATTTGACCAGGGAAGTAAATAAATACTACTTTTTAACATGTGTATGTATTACTAATGTGGCAAGATGTTAGCAGCATGGAATTAATTTGCAAATGTTTCTGAAAGAATTATGTTAATGAACACACATAATATTTAAATGAACTTCTAAAGGAAGGAGGTAGCATATATCACTATCAGCTTGACTACTATCATCCCTCTGAACCCAGTGAAGACAGCCCAAGATCCAGAACTCAAGATTTAAGTAGGAGTGTAGTGGGAAGTCCTGAAATCCTCTATGCTGGCTCCTCAAAGACTCTATCCTTGGGATTGGAGGGCAAGTTCTGCCACCTCTTATAAATTTATAAAGGATTTTAATACAGGCCTGGTGATGGACTGTATCACCTAAAGACCAGCTTAAGTAAGTTAAGATGGGATCATTGGCCATGCATGGAGTATCAAATT